ATGCTGCACGTGCGTATATATTCTAATAAATATCCAGAGAGACAACCTGGTAAATCAATATTTAGGGTTGGAATTCTCGGTAACAATGTAATTAGGCCTTTTAACTATCAAAACAATTCACCAAAAGATCGCTACATGAATTTGTTAGTAAATCATTTGGAAGACGCTCCAGATAGTTTGCTTTTAGCGGTTACTCACAGCTGCTGGTTTCAACAAGACGGTGCTCCAGCATATAACGCTAAAATTGTTTGTTATTATTTGAACCGTTCCTTCCTAGAACAGTGGATTGATACTCATATAGTATAACAATTTTCAATTGAAGGTAACTCATATACAAATTAAACTGAGAGCTAACGACAACAATGTTAAATATTAGAACTAAATTCTTATCGGCATCATTTTTATTGTCTATGCATCGCCATTGTAAATAAATGAAAAGTAAGATGATTCCATAAAATTTGCCTCCCGTAACAAGATAGCTTCTGCATATCGATAAGTACTTTGAAACCTCGGTAAACTGATCAACACTTCGCAGGTCTATTATATTTGCGTCCTTAAAATGCCATAACTAGTCATTCGGTTTCTTCATTATCAAGCGTCTGCATAGGCGTAGTGTGTTCTGTTTCTTGTGAAAGTGACTTTGTTTTGTATTTATCAAATATATTCAATTTTATTTATTAAATAGACAGTTATATTTATTAACTTTAAAATATGAGATAGAGTCGTCCGATACTTGTTTTTCAAAATACATTATCATAGATTTTCATCACATTCACACTTTATTGTGAGATAATTAGTTGACCTAGTCATTAAATTCAGGTATAAATGTTCGTTCCTAGGATATTATTAGTTTTTAGGTGGATAGTAATATCTCAAAGTATACATGAATCACAATGTATGTAGAATTCAGTTTATTAGTGAACACGTTTGAAAAAGCTACTGTGCAGCGAAACACGTGTTGCGGATTTGTTAATCTGTTCTAGTGAAAATCTGACAATAAAGTGTAATCATCAACTTTAAAATAGTTTTTGAAGTAATTAAACAACTGATAAATAGCTGAATAATATGATTGAATTTTATTATTTATTTTTATAATATGAGATGGATGCCATAGCAGGTCCAAGTAATGTACAAAGAAAGCGAAAGTTTATGTCGTTAGAAGAAGAACAGATTGTTTGTAGAGTATACAAAAATTTAAAAAATACACTCCGTACAGTGGAAGCTGTAGCCCACTGTTCATTTTTAACGGGAATATCTGTGTCGACAATTGAACGTAATGTACGTGAAAAAAAGGTGACTGGGATTGTGCAAGCTCCAAAAGTACATTGTCGTGGTAGAAAAAAAAATGAATTGGACGAGTACCAGAAAAATTTTGTACGCTATACCATTAATTCTTTCTTTTTTGAGAATAAAGCGCCAACCTTGGAATCCATTAGGACAAAAATTATGGATAATAATCTCATTCCAAAAATGAGCAAACAGAAGTTAAGGAAAATAATAAAAGAAGATTTGAAATTCATATGTGCCAAACGATCCCGTGAATCTGTCTCAATAGAAGGAGAAGATATAGTCTCATGGGGATGGAGATATCTTCGCTCCATTAGAGAAATGCGTTCTGCTCACAAACAGATTTATTATTTGGACGAAACGTGGGTGAATGCTGGTCACACAGTATCTAAGATCTGGGAAGATACTGTAACCAGTTATCGTGAAGCATTTGTGGACGGTTTATCAACATGGTTACGCGGACCAGCGGGTAAAGGGCAACGACTAATTGTCGCCCATATAGGTAGCGAGAGTGGCTTTTCAGACGAGAGTGCACAAATTTTGTTATCCTAAAAAACGGGAGATTATCACGAAGACATGGACGCTCAAAGCTTTGAAGGATGGTTTGAATCCCTTCTTTCACGAGTCGAGCCAAATTCGGTAATAGTAATGGATAACGCTTCCTATCAGAGCCGATTAGTAGAACAGCTGCCAACTATGACCATCAGAAAAGCAGACATGCAGAGTTGGTTAGGACAAAAAGGAATTCCATTTTCCGAGAACATGGTTGAGGCCGAGCTTATGAGTGTCATCAAACAGCATCGTGACAAATATCATCAGCATGTGGTGGATACAATAGCTCGTGCTGAAGGTAACACCATTTATAGACTTCCTCCTTACTATTACGAGTTAAACTCGATAGAATTAATCTGGACTCAAATTAAGGGTTACTTAGCTCGTGAAAACGTGACATATAAAATTTCTGATGTCCAACGTTTATTAGAACTCACAATGGAACGGATACGGAAAGAAGATTGGGCTAATGCTGTAGCCCATGTGATCAAGGAAGAAGAGAAAATGTGGAAATTGGACGGGATGGAAGACACTGTTTTCGACCAAATGAAAATAGATTTAAGTGTGACTGGGGATTCGTCTTCGGACGAGTCAATGGATTCTAAAACTTCATAAGCTTAACATAGGTAATTATTTCTTTGTTTTGTAGTTCTCTTTCTAGATAAAAGGAACATAATAGACATAATAGGCATAATAAGGCATAATAAGTAAATGTAATCAGTTTTACCATTGACACCAGGTAGCGCCACCTACTATAACAAATTTTACGTAATTACCTATATGTTTGAATAAATAAAAATATTATTTTGGTACGCCTCTGCAGAGTTGATGAGAGGATTATCCGTTGGTCACTTCAAATGCGACGTTGCTAATGAATCACCTTCAATTGAAACTTGTTATAGTATAGTGTTACATTCTGGCCTGCAAGATCCCCCGACCTAACCCAACTGAACTTTTTCCTTTGGGGATATATCAAAAATCAAGTTAACTCTCATAATTGTCAAAACGAAGAAAATTTGCTAAGATTGGTTACTGCATCCTTTAACAATATTGCTCCGAATATATTGATTCAAGTTTTGAATTCGTAAGAAAGATTGGTCCATATTTCGAATTCATTTTTGGAACAACTCCTGGACTTCTCAGTAAATACAGGGTATTTATTAAACATGCGACAAAAATTAGGAGACTATTCCTTGGACTATTCTGTCCTTTGATGATTTTTGATAAGGCGCTTTGTTTCCTAGATACAGGGCGATAAAGAATTTCGACAATAACAATTTTGGTGATTTTGAAATTATTAACGTAGCCGAAATAAAAGTATAGCGTACTACACTGGACCTTCTAAGTAATAAAAAATCTAACAATTCTGTTGATACCTATCAACAACATTTCAATCACTACGAATGGCTGCAGACATTCAATTTGAATATGTGTCGAATAGGCATTTTCTGTGTTTAATATTTAAAGTCTTGTTAGTGAAGTCATGAATGGCTATAGTAAAGCAGAGATGGTTGATATGCATTTCATTTATGGACTTGCTGATGGCAATTCATTGAAAGCTAGGTGGTTGTACAGTGAACGATTTCCTAATCGTAATATGCCTAATAGAGAAACCTTCCAGAGTATACATCAACGATTTCGTGAAACAGGAGCATTGAAACTAAATGGAGGACCAGGAAGACCAATGACAGTAAGAACGGTAGAAGAAGAAGAGAATGTGCTGGCTCCAGGTATCTCTTCTCGAAAAATTGCAAATACTTCAAATTTAAGTAACGGGACGATTTAAAGACTATTTTTTGTACCCATACCACAAACAACGAGTTTAGGAACGTGTTCCTGCGGAGTTCCTTCCACGTATTGCATTTTCACAATGGCTTTTGCGCACATTGGTTCAAATCCCTCAACTAGTGACGCTTATTATTTTTAAAGTTGAAGCCAGTTACCCAACAACCTCCATAAGGAAATTCCACAATAATCATCTCTGGGCTGAAGAAAATCCAAATGAGGTGATCGTTTTCAATATCAGTTCTCGCTAAACGTTTGGGAGGGAATTGTAGTTGACTACCTAATTGGGCCGGTATTTCTGCCAAGAAGACTTACCGGCGAGGTATATCCCTTTTTTTGGCACAAACGCTACCTCAGTTTCTGGAGGATATACCATTGGTTACAAGAAATGCAACGTGGTTTATGTACGACGGTGCACCAGCGTATTTTAGCATATTGGCTCGTAACATACGGAGATCGCTGGACTGGTCGAGAAGAATCTCACTTATTACCTGCTCGATCACCGGACTCAAAGCCCCTGGATTATTTCCTATGGGGCCACCTGAAGTCATTAGTTTATACCACTCCAGTGGAAGATGTGGAAGATTTGAAAAATCAGATAATTGCTGAATGTTACGAGAAGATTGGATTCTTGCATCCGAGCGGAGGATATTCACCAACAGTTCTTGTAATTCAAGAAACATTACATGTAATTTTTGGTAATAAATTTTTATTGTCGAAATTATTATTCGCTTCGTTTCTTCGAAACAAAGCGCCCCATTAAAAATCATGAAAGGACAAAATATCCTTGGAATAATCCAAGGAATAGTCCTTTGAATTTTTGCAGCATGATTAATAAACACCCTGTATACATATAATGGTCGATCGGTAGCCGGCCGGTTCGATGTGGGTGCCTTATTCAGTCAGTCAATCGGCCGATGTGTGAGTCGATGGTTCAAGCCGCAGGCTGAACGCTCGATTTTTACTTGCTATCGTCCAACTCGTGTTGAGAATCACACGCTAAAAGGTAAGACCTCGTTAGTCCTTAGCTCGCACAAGTTTCAACTTCTGAGAACTGTCGTTAGTAGGGGTGCGGTAGCTGGTTAACGAAAAAAACATATTTTATTTTCACAATCTTATATTTATCTCAATATTGGAAGCAGTATAAGTCATTTCATACAGAAAACCAACCTGACTTTGATACGTCTCGCTTCTACTGAATACCATGTGTATTGCAGAATATTATATTCAGTTTATGTATTCGTTTCAGTGAATAAAAACATATTGCATGTTTTTAGCAAATAATCATGACTATGAGTTATAGTTGTTTTATAAAATAATTCATACTCCCATCAAGCAAAAATAACATTGATTATTGGAACTATTACCTTTTTCAGATCCTCCAAAAATTGTGAGCATCGGCAGAGAGAGGGTGAAAACCGCCACATTATTCTCATCAACGAGCTTCGAGTGTCTGGGAGAAGGCAATCCTCCTCCAACATACGAGTGGATACAAAAAAGACCCGTTCCAGCTGATTCTAACATAGAGAGGGGAAGAGACGCAAAGTTATACATCAGCAACGTAACCTATGACTTCCAAGGCGAATACAGATGTAAAGTGACGAATATCATCAAAGGGGAAGAAAGGAGTGAAATCAGTGAACCAATTATTCTACAAGTGCATGGTAAGTTTTCTAGTTGATCTGTATCGCTTTTGCTGCGGTTCAACACTTGTGAATGTAACCAATCGTGTGTCAAATAGTGAAGAATAAGTAATACATTGCGAATATGATCAAAATAAATCACAACTGACTGCTCTTGTACCTGATTGGTCTGACCCTTCTTCAATTAGTGGGAAAATGTTTGTGTTGTGAAGTGCCAAAATCCATCTATTGTTGATGACTAAGCACTCTTCCTTACGGTTGGAATTATTCTTGTTTATGTGTACAAGTTATGTTCAGAAAATGAGGTTAATTTTGAAATTTCCCGGGCTATGTACATTTCATCAGCGATTTTTAATTTCATTTCATTGATACGTTCACCTCAAACATATGTTCTCAGTGTCAGTTGTTTAGCATGCATAGTTTGTTGGTGAGAGGGATACAAGTGGCTAGAGAGGATTTTCTGCTATCGTCAAAAATGGATCAAAAAAAGTTTACAAATGGTATGAGCTTTTCACAGAAGGAGGAGAAAATGTGAGCGATGACACTCTCCCTGAACGCCACAGCACATCAACAATCGATGAAAATGTTGAGGAAATGAAAAAAGTGTTATGGAGATCATTAGCGAAGTTGCTGAGGATGTCGGCATATCAGTTAGCTCATACCATGCAATTTTTCCGAAAATTTTGGTCAGAAAGCGTGGGGCAGCAAAATTCAACAGTTTTGGAACGAACTTTATATCAAGCAGAAAAGTTTTTCCATTGGCCGTTCTCTCCAGTATCACCGTGGAGTGTTTACTGAAAAGTTTATTCTAACTCTTGAAGATGCTCACTTCGTGATTGAAATACGTGTCGGGGTGTTGGAATCAAACTCCAGTATTATTCACCCATTTTCAGTCAATGTAAGAATTCGAGTTTCATTGACCAATTTTTGGTACTTTTTGACATAGTAATACGTCAGTATGCGGCAGTTTTACCTCTCAGACTGGAGGAAAATGAGTCTTGTTGAATTAATAAGGTCCCAAATATTTGACAATCTGATTTGTTCATACTTCGAAAAAGTAAACAACTGCCGAATAACTTTTTTCGAGATCAATTGCCCTAACACCAAAGTGATATTTTTGCACTCGACGCGCGTTTCGCCAACAAAGTTAGCATCCTCAGGAGAACAGAATTGAGTGCGCATTTCGCCAACAAAGTTAGCATCCTCAGGAGAAGAAAATTGATTCCTAAAGTCTATCCAAATCCAAGATAGAGTAAAACAAAACAAAACCGAAGCGTGATGTTCACGTAATCGCCCAGTGTCAGATGGAAAGGGCAGCGTTCATTGGTGAATTCGTTCGACGCGCCTTTCATTAACTGAGCTAGCATCATCAGGAGATGACTAAAGTTTAAGTCACCTCTCGAAAATAGTTGAAAAATACGAAAGCTAGAATTTCCAAATTCCATTTCACGCCAGAGATTTAAAATTTTACGCCAGATATTCGAAATTTCTGATGGAGATTTGGAATTTCATGCCAAAGATACAAATTTCATGCCAGAGATTACAAATTCATGCTGAAGATTTCAAATTCATTGCCAGAGATTACAAACTTCATGCCAGAAATTACAAATTTCATGCCCGAGATTCCACGCTGGAGATTTTGAATTATGTGCCAGATATTCCAAATTCATGCTAGACATTTTAAATTTCATGCCATATATTCAAAATATCATGCCAAAGATTTAAATTCATGTTAGAGATTTAAAATTTTTTGCCAGAGATTCTAAATTCTACACCAGAGTTCACGAATTTCATGCCAGAGATTCCAAATTGTATGCCAGAAATTCTAACTTCATGCCAGATATATAAAATTTCATACCGAGAATTGTATGCCACAGATGCCGATTTAATGCCAGAGTTTTCGAATTTAAAGCCAGAGATTTCGAATTGTATACCAGAGATTCTAACTTCTTGTCAGATATACTCAATTTCTTGCCAGAGATTCCAAATCAATGCTGAAGTTATCAAATTTGATGACAGATATTCCGAATTTCATGCCGGAGATAACAAATTTCCTGCCAGATATTTCAAACTCCATGATAGAGATTTCAACTTCATGTCAAATATTGAAATTTCATGCCAGAGATTCTAAACTTTCTGCCAAATTTTTCAAATTTCATGCCAGATATTCCAAATTTTATACCAGAGATTCCAGGTTGTATGTCATAGATTCTAACTCCATGCCAGATATATCAAATTTCATGCCGGAGATTCCAAATTTCATGCCGGAGATTCCAAATTTCATGCCGGAGATTCCAAATTTCATGCCAAAGATGTCAAATAATTGCTACAGTTTTCAAATTCAATGCTAGTGTTTTCAAATTTCATGTCGGAGAATACAATTTTATGCCAGAGATTTGAAATCGTATGCCAAAGATTCGAAATTTCATGCCAGAAATTCCAAATTTTATACCAGAGATTCCAAGTTGTATGCCATACATTCTAATTTCATGCCAGATATATCAAATTTCATACCATAGATTCCAAATTTCATGCCAGAGATTCTAAATTTCATGCCAAAGATCTCAAATTGATGCTAGAGTTTTCAAATTCAGTGCTAGTGTTTTCAAATTTCATGTCTGTTGATGACTAAGCACTCTTCCTTACGGTTGGAATTATTCTTGTTTATGTGTACAAGTTATGTTCAGAAAATGAGGTTAATTTTGAAATTTCCCGGGCTATGTACATTTCATCAGCGATTTTTAATTTCATTTCATTGATACGTTCACCTCAAACATATGTTCTCAGTGTCAGTTGTTTAGCATGCATAGTTTGTTGGTGAGAGGGATACAAGTGGCGAGAGGCGATTTTCTGCTATCGTCAAAAATGAATCAAAGAATTTGTATACGGTGATTTTACTCTGAATCAAAAAAAGTTTACAAATGGTATGAGCTTTTCACAGAAGGAGAAGAAAATGTGAGCGATGACACTCTCCCTGAACGCCACAGCACATCAACAATCGATGAAAATGTTGGGGAAGTGAAAAAAATTGTTATGGAGATTATTAGCGAAGTTGCTGAGGATGTCGGCATATCAGTTAGCTCATACCATGCAATTTTTCCGAAAATTTTGGTCATAAAGCGTGTGGCAGCAAAATTCGTTCCAAAACTGTTGAATTTTGGAATGAACTTTATATTGAGCAGAAAAGTTTTTTCATTGTCCGTTCTCTCCAGTATCACCGTGGAGTGTTTACTGGAAAGTTTATTCTAACTCTTAAAGATGCTCACTTCGTGATTGAAACACGTGTCGAGGTGTTGGAATCAAACTCCAGTATTATTCACCCATTTTTAGTCAATGTAAGAATTCGAGTTTCATTGACCAATTTTTTGTACTTTTTGACAAAGTAATACGTCAGTATGCGGCAGTTTTACCTCTCAGACTGGAGGATAATGAGTCTTGTTGAATTAATAAGGTCCCAAATATTTGACAATCTGATTTGTTCATAGTTCGAAAAAGTAAACAACTGCCGAATAACTTTTTTCGAGATCAATTGCCCTAACACCAAAGTGATATTTTTGCACTCGACGCGCGTTTCGTCAACAAAGTTAGCATCCTCAGGAGAACAGAATTGATGGCGCGTTTCGCCAACAAAGTTAGCATCCTCAGGAGAAGAAGATACCTAAAGTCTATCCAAATCCAAGAAGGAGTAAAACAAAACCAAACCGAAGCGTGGTGTTCACGTGATCGCCCAGTGTCAGATGGAAAGGGCAGCGTTCATTGGTGAATTCGCCTTCTTGGTACGAGTTCGGTACCAGCACAGGGTTGTAATCAGTCGTTTGCGTGTTTGTGTGGCGTGGGTTATAGTATATTGTTTGAAATTGTTTTCAAAGATGTCCAGTACAGATACTGCTGATGACACTGTGAGCTATCCACTGACTCCAGCCAGGAAACGATCCAAAAAAGACATTTGAGTGTTGAGATGGAAGAAGTGATTTTAAATGTGTTCAAGAAAGAGATGGAAGAAATTAAGACATAGACTGTCGTCGAAGTCGTATCGAAAGTTTCCGATAAAATTGGAGTGTGTTGCGCTTCCATTTACAATGTTTCACGGGAATATAAACAAAATCATACATTTTCCAAACCGAATACAAATCAGAATCGTCAACCATTATAAAATCAATATATGATGCTGATAAACATGCAATCAGGAGGATAGTGCATGAGTATTTTTTCAGAAATTAAATACCCACGATAGACAAAGTACCTACTCACAGAAATACATGAAGATGTTTTATTGCCAAGTTTTGAGCGGTCAACATTCCACCAAGTATTGAAATATTTGAATTTTGCATGGAAAAAACGAGGGCGCAATAGTTTATTATTGGATAGAAGGGAAATTGTGTTATGGAGGAGAGTATTTGATCAAAATTAAATATTATAGGGAACAACAGAGAACAATTTATTATATGGATGAAACCTGGGTTAATGCTGGTCATATTACCCCTAAAGTATGGGTCGATGAAACTGTGACCTCATCTAGGAGGGCCTTTCTAGATGGACTATCCACCGGATTAACAAATCCATCAGGTAAACTTATATTCATATTAAGACCTGCCTCAATCTCAATATATAAAAATGAAAATAAATAAGTAACCCTCGTATTTGTTTCATTCACTTACATACCTCTTCATGATTTCAGGTAAAGGAAAACGGCTTATTATTTGTCACATCGGCAATGAGAATGGGTTTGTTGCTGAAGGGCTGTGGTGTTTCGAGTTGAAGAAAACTGAAGATTATCACGAAGAAATGAACGGTGAATCTTTCGAACAGTGGTTTTCCTAAGTTCTACCCCATCTGGAGGATAATGCTGTGATTTTAATGGACAATGCTCCTTATCATTCGCGACGGTTAGAGAAGATTCCGACAACGTCTTCAAAGAAGGTTGAAATCCAAAATTGGCTGCGATCAAAGAATATTAGCTTTGAAGACTCAATGCTAAGAGTACAGCTACTAAAAATTGTCAAGGAGCGCAAGCTTGAATA